AGCTCCTTATACGTCTGCCCGTTATCCGCCGTCAAAGTACTGGCGCTTAGCCAAGTACCGATCATTTCGTAGGCGTAGCCAAGGGGAAGTTGGGGCGGAGGAGGCGGCTGCTTGCCTTTCTTGCCCTTGGGCTTCGGTTTGCCGCCCAGCTTGGCGCGCTCGGCATCTGAGAGCGTGTTATTGAGCCATGTGGCGTCGCTGGTGTCCACGGTGAGTGCCACGTCAGCGCCTTTCTTGATGACGATGCTGGTGGGCTCTCCAGAGTCAGTTAGATTCACGCGCACGGAGTAAGTAATGTCGTAGTCGTTAGCGTCGCTCCTGGGGGGGTACGTGGTCAGCAGGGGTAAGCAGAGGTAAGCAGAGATAAGCAGGGGTAAGCAGGGGTATGCAGAGGTAAGCAGAGGTAAGCAGGGGTAAGCAGAGGTAAGCAGGGGTAAGCAGAGGTAAGCAGGGGTAAGCAGAGGTAAGCAGGGGTAAGCAGAGGTAAGCAGGGGTAAGCAGAGGTAAGCAGGGGTAAGCAGAGGTAAGCAGGGGTATGCAGAGGTAAGCAGGGGTAAGCAGAGGTAAGCAGGGGTAAGCAGAGGTAAGCAGGGGTAAGCAGAGGTAAGCAGGAGCAAAGAGTGGTAAGCTGTGGCGTTCCCGGGGGAGGTGGCAAGGAGGGGCAGGGAGGTGGCAAGGAGGAGCAGGGAGGGGCAAGGGATCGGGTGCTTGGACATGGGACTGGGTACAGAATGAGAATTGAGTTGAACGAGGCTGGAGAGAAGGAAGGGAATGATGGGACAGTTTACAGGAAGACGGTGAGGAGAGATTGAGAGAGTGAGGGGCGAAAAAGGAAAACGAGAAGTGATTCGTGAGAAGAGAAGAAAGTGAAGCTTACTGAAAGACGGCGAGGGAAATGCAGCCTGTGGCGTTGACGTCACCGCTGAGGTCAGCATCGGAGCCGTTGACTCGCGCTTCCAACACAGCTGCACGAAATCGCGTAATCACGGAAAGGAAAGAATGCTTGTGGAATGTGAAAGTGCTACAGAAAAGGGAATTGGAGCTGATTAGACGCGCCGCCACTGAACCTTGAGAACGGGAGGGGGCACGGTGGGTGGTTGATTGCCAAGCAAGAATATATGCAAGAGTGGGGGGGGGCAAGAGAGCAGGAAAAGGTTAGGAGGGGAAAGACCTTCGGCTCCACTTCTTTTGCGCTTACCGATAGGAGCGCCGAACGAATCGCCTCCATTCTTGCCCCCTCCATTCTTCCCACCATCCTTCCCGCCCTTCTTCGCGCCATCCTTCCCGCCCTTCTTGCCCTTAGGCGGCGGCGGAAGCGGGTCCGACTGAAACTGCCCCCGCGCCGCACCCGACTCATAATCAGTGGTCGCGAATGTCGCGTAGTACCCGTCCGGCGTCGCGATTATGGAATCCACCAGCTCCTTCAGTGTCTGCCCGCCGATCGTGGACAGCGTACTCGCTTTGAGCCACGTCCCGTTAGTGGCATAAGTGTACTTCGGAGGAGGTGGGGCGGGCGGAGTGCCCTTGTTCTTCTTGCCCTTGGGCGGAGGAGGCGGCGGACGAGTAAGATTTGCCCACGTGGCAGTTTCCCCTGCCGCGACAGTATTATGAACGGCGGTTCCTGCCTCTCCCGCCGCGCCTTGATAGATCGAAGCGGCGAACGGCTCGGCGTCGTCGGAGGTGGAGGTGACGACACTGTAGAAGACGTTGTAGTCGCCGTCTAGCCTGACGATTTCCGTCAAAGTTCACACAAAGAGAGCAGACGGGAGGAATGGAATGCGCATTGCTCAAGCATGTGAAGGCATTTTCGAAAAGATGGTGTGGAGTAACGGAAAGCGACCGTTGAGTTTATTCAAGGGTTAGGTGGAAGGTAAAGAGGCACAGAGAGCCAGGTGGGCGCACAGAGAGCCAGGTGGGCGCACAGAGTACGAGCAGGAAGCGACCGTTGTGTAGGTGGGTGGAAGGGGAAAGGCAGGTGGAAGGGGAAAGGCAAGTGGAAGCGAGTTCATTCAAGGGTTAGGTGGACGGGGAAAGGCAGCACAGAGGACCAAGTGGGCTCATAGAGCACAAGCGGCTGGGCTTACTCGAAGACGGCGAGGCACGACATGCAAGTGAGAGGTAAGTGATGAAACCTATGACTCAGATGGATGAAGCGGCTTACTCGAAGACGGCGAGGCAGACTCGCCCGGTGGCGTTGACGTCGCCCGTCGCCCCAACCACTTCGGATCCGTTCAGCCGCGCGGCGAGAATCGCTGCGCGGAGACGCGGAGAGGGGGTACGCCGAGAGGAGGGCACGCGGAGGGGAGGGGAGCGGGGGAGGGAAAGGGTGTGGGAGAAGGGCGGAGAGGACAGTTAGCGCGCGAAGGAAGAGGTGAGAGGAGAGGCGAGAAAAGGAGAGAGCTGGTGTTTTGTTTGTGAATCCTTTTGAATCTCGTCGATGCGTGCTTCAACTCAACGCGTGGATCCTCGAACGGACAGGCCACGCCGCCCGGCAGGCGTCTAGACGTTCCCGAGATTCTATCACCCGTCAGATTCCCTGGAGAAATCTCACCCGTCAGATTCCCGAGAGCCTCAGCGTCTTTCGGCTTGGGCAGCGGGCACGGGCCCGCGTCGGGGGGCCCCCCTTTCCCGCCCTTGTTCTTCCCGTCCTTCACAGGGCGTGCCGTCGTGATCGCTGCGCAGCAGATGGAAGAAAACGAGCACATGGGATAAATGAGAAACTAACAGCTGAATTGAACGCATGGGTGAGTGATAAATCCAGGGGATTCAACTGACATTTAATTAATATTAGTGATAATTAGTAGTACTAATGTCACTCACCGAAGGATGCTGTGATGACTAGGAGTAAAATCGACAAGCCGAAATAACGGTGGAGCCCCATCGTGGACCAAAATCCCCTAGCTGGCGAATCAATTTCTAGAGAATAGGAAAATGGATTGTTGGCTGGGTGATGAGAAAGCGAACGAAGAAAATACTTGCTATATCGATCACCAGTCGAGAGTTAATTTATTGGGCAACAGAAAGCTGAGCTAGTGGTGGCCGCACATGAGGAGGCAAAGAACAAAACATTTCAGTAAGGTGCTGAAGAAGCATCGGTGCACAGAGATACAAATCGATTCCAGCAGATTTTTGGGGTATCTTGTGACACGAGAATGCGTGACGACATTACATGGGCGCAATTGGCGGGTTACCTGGCGGGAAAGGTCACCACAATGCTTGTGAGATATTGAGGGTACGATAAGTGGGCAACCTGCCTAAAATTCTTCTGCAAGCGGGAAATGTAACGAAGGTGGAGGGGGAGTGGAGGAGTGCGGGAGTAGAGTTTTAGACCACCTTACCATTTTTCCGTCTGAGTTTTGATCCATGGAAAAAACTACACTTGGTTGTGGATCTTTTCGAATCGCCCGGGCAACCTAGTCGAAAAGTAAATGGCCGCGTTTTGCAACCTCACACACTGCAAAGGCCGCGGATGAATCGCCGCAGGGCACGGAAACCAATCAAAAGCATAAAATCAGGTGAAACCTTGTGGCGCCTTTTCTCACGAGTCACGAACGATGCGTGTGCTCCGCCCCGCTGCAAGCGCAATAAACCTGGTCAAAGACTTTCTTGACTGTCGTTGTTGGCGCAGGTGGTGCAGAAGGAACAAGGCAGCGGAGGATGGCGAAATTTCCGTACAGAGGATAAACCGATACGAAAACAATGGTAGATTAGAAAGAACTGATGTCCTAATTCCAGATAGAGCATCGTTAAATCAATTTTACGTTTCCCATTCAGCTTATAGCGAAGGCTGACAGATTCAGAGAGCTCAACCAGTTGTCATCCTCCACTCCACGTGCTGCTGACAGCCAGATTCAAGCCCCCAAACCCCTCTCGAAGGCCGTGTTCTGCAGGCGCATCAGCCTGATGCGCCAGAGGCTCGGCCTGATGTGGACTGGGGACATTGAGGTTCGGACACTGAGAATTTTGGAAATTCGGGATCCGGACATTTCAATCTCGAGTTTCGTGAAATTGGGGAAGGAAAGCGGGGTTATTCGAAGTGTGACAGCACTGACACCTTCGCCACATGCCCCGCATCAGGTGATGCGCGCATCATGCGACTTCTCAAGGGCGCTGTTCTGTAGGCGTTAAAATTCCAAAAACTGGGTCCGCAGAATCTTCGTTGATAAGTGGTCTTCTGCCTATCAAGGTTTGGTGATAAGAAAGGTCCTGCCGAACCTGTTCGCGCCAAATTTAACGCATCAGCCTGCAGAACGCCACTTTTGGGGCGCACGAATTTAACCGTCTCCAGGTTCGAAGTTGGTGCTTCGCCGGGAGCTAGCATCAGCCTCCGCACATGTTATGCAAGACATCAACATCCGCGCAACGCAACCAGCATGAATGTGCCTAGAAAATGCACAGAAGGCTACCGCGGTCAAATTGGTGCGGAACCCTAAACGCCTGCAGAACAACGCCATGAGTTGCTTGATGGGCGCAGCATTGATGCGCCAGATTGCTAGGACGAGAAACTACAAGGAACGCGGCGACATTGTAAATTTTGGGGGTCAAACAGGCTGTTCTGCAGGCATTCTGGCGTGGTTTGCCTCGGCAGCCATGCGCTTATCGCGAACACAGGTTATCAAAGAAGGAACCAGGAACCTGGTTCAGTGAAGATATCCGGGCTGATGCGACCGTAGAGCAAAGCCCAAGCACCGCGCGCCGAGCCGAAGCCCTTGTCAATTTGGCCAAATTTCCTGTGCAATATCTAGGGAGTGACCGTTGAGGTTCGATCAGGCAACCCTTCGTGCAATATCTAGGGAGTGACCGCCGAGGGCCAAATTTCTTGCCGCTTTTCATGTGCAGCTCCCTCCCAAACACTTCCTGCAAAAGGAGCGCGCCGTTGGTAATTTCCCGCGTTTCTCGCGCCTCAGCTTCCGAACCGCCTCTCCGTTGGTTGCGCGCTGCGGTTCCGCCCAGCTCGCCACCTTGAGCTACAGGTTAGCTAGGCTCCATTCGAAGTACCAATGGACGGGCTTGTTCGCGACAACGCCAGCTTTACCGCTTCTCCAGCCGTACCTATCGCCGCACCTCTCGCCGCGATCGCTGGTCTCTCCCAGCCCGTGGAAAGCGCGCTCTACCTCTGGGGATTCAATATCCGCGGGCAGACCAGCCACCGCGCGGGGCTTCGCGGGGATCCGCGCACGTGGCGCTGCCAGCGCGCGCCGCTGCGGATCGCGCGGGAGAAGTTCCGCGCGCGGGACGGGCAGCCCGTAGCGCTTGTTAGCGTGGCGTGCGGATTGGAACATAGCGCGGCGGTGGGGATCGATGGGAGCCTGTTCACGTGGGGGTCGAACGAGTATGGGCAGCTGGGCGATGGTACTGAGCAGAGCAGCAGGTGCGTTGACTCCGTTGACTCCATTGACTTGACTTTCTGCCTGGGGATTGATGGGAGCCTGTCTTACGTGGGGGTCGACTGAGTACGGACAGCTGGGCGACGGCACAGAGCAGAGCAGCAGGTGCGTTGACTCTGTTGACTCCGTTGACTTTTCGTATTCCCTGAGGATTAATGGGAGCCTGTTCACGTGGGGTTAGAACGAGCAAGCGCAGCTGGGCAACGGCACCTGTGCGTTGACTCCGCTCACTCCTTGACCCCATTGACTCCGTTGATTCCGATGAGCATTTCCATACAGGGATCCTAACAAGGTAGCAGCCTTAGAGGAGGCAGGGGAGGAGGTGACTGCTGTGGCGTGTGGCGCGCAGCGCACTGCAGCTATCACCCCCTGCTCTCAAATTCTCCTCTCCACTTCTTCCTCCTCTCACCCTTCGTCTCTCCCTTCTCCCTACGGGGAACCCATAAGGGTAGCAGCTTTGGAGGAGGCAGGGGAGGAGGTGACTGTTGAGGCGTGTGATGCGCAGTGCACTGCAGCTATTGCCTCCTCTGTTTCCCTCCTCTTCTCTCCCCTTGACCTGTCATTTTCATGCAGGGAGCCTACAAGAGTGGCAGCCTTAGAGGAGGCAGGGGAGGAGGTGACTGCTGTGGCATGTGGCGCGCAGTGCACTGCAGCTATCACCAGGCGGAGGGCGGATGGGCGGGGGAGGGGGAAGAGGAGAGGGGGCAGCGCGGAGCATGGGGGTGGCGGGGAAGAGGAGGGGGAGGAGGGGCGCCTGTGGGTATGGGGCCAAAACCAGGTGGGTGAAAATCGGTGCTGGTAGATAGAAAGTTGTGCCTGCTGGTACAGAGCGGTACTGTTAGGTGGAAGTAGAGACAGACAGATGTCAGTCCATTGTGCTTCCACCTACTCTGTCTTAACGTGGACCTGAATGCTTATCACAAAGGTGTGATGGCCCTTATCATGACTGGCTATTGTTCTTATCATTGGCAATCACTTGCATTTCCTTGCTTTCCGTGTTCTCTCTTTTCATTTCTTCATATCCTCGCTCTCCGTATTTTCTATTTTTGTTTCCTCGCTCTGCAGAATTCCAACCTCCCTCGTCTCATACGAGGAGCCTTCCCTCCCAAAACTGTGAGCCCTGCGCTTCAATATGGGTTTCATTATAGTCACTATAGCCAGCCATAGTGTACGGCACTCATTCATCCATTCGTTAGTGTGTTTTCTCATTCCCTCGCCCACTTGTCTTTCTGGTTTTTTTTTTTTTTTTTTTTTTTTTTTTTTTTTTTTTTTTTTTGGTTGCACGCATTCTCTCACACACCCCCCCTTCCCCCCTCACCTGCCCTGCCCCCTGACCATCTTCCAGGTGGTTATTCAGGTGTCTTGTGGCGACTCACACGCTGCTGCCGTGTCCAACACTGGCCTGCTGCAGACATGGGGTGAGAGATATGGGTGCAAGCAGGTGCGTGGGAGATATGGGTGCAAGCAGGTGCGTGGGAGATATGGGTGCAAGCAGGTGCGTGGGAGATATGGGTGCAAGCAGGTGGGTGGGAGATATGGGTGCAAGCAGGTGCGTGGGAGATATGGGTGCAAGCAGGTGCGTGGGAGATATGGGTGCAAGCAGGTGCGTGGGAGATATGGGTGCAAGCAGGTGCGTGGGAGATATGGGTGCAAGCAGGTGCGTGGGAGATATGGGTGCAAGCAGGTGCGTGGGAGATATGGGTGCAAGCAGGTGCGTGGGAGATATGGGTGCAAGCAGGTGGGTGGGAGATATGGGTGCAAGCAGGTGGGTGGGAGATATGGGTGCAAGCAGGTGCGTGGGAGATATGGGTGCAAGCAGGTGCGTGGGAGATATGGGTGCAAGCAGGTGCGTGGGAGATATGGGTGCAAGCAGGTGCGTGGGAGATATGGGTGCAAGCAGGTGCGTGGGAGATATGGGTGCAAGCAGGTGCGTGGGAGATATGGGTGCAAGCAGGTGCGTGGGAGATATGGGTGCAAGCAGGTGCGTGGGAGATATGGGTGCAAGCAGGTGCGTGGGAGATACAGAGCGGCAGAGGAAAGTCAAAAGTGTTGAGGGTTGAAAACGCTAAGGGTGGTAAGCACGCATGCGACTCACAGGCTGCTGGCTGTGTCCAACACAGGGCTGCTGCAGGCATGCATGGGGTGAGTGGGCATGGTGCAAGCTTGGCATGGGTACAGCGAGCATGGGTACAGCGAGCATGGGTACAGCGAGCATGGGCAGCTGGGCATCGGCAGGGTGTGTGATGCGATGGGCTGCAGAGGCTGCATCTGGGGAATATCACCACTCCTGCTTGCTTCCCAACGCATCCTGCCTCATGGAATATCACCACTCCTCTGTCACTCCCAACACTCCATACCCCTCATCTAGGCTACTACAGTACAACGAGCATGGGCAGCTGAGAATATGAAGTGCGTGTGACGGGCTGCAGCGGCAACCCACGGGGGTGTGTTGTCCTCTTCCGGGACGACGTATCTCATCTCCAACCGTCGTCCCTCCATCTTTGCCACTCCAACCGTCGTCCCTCCATCTTTGCCACTCCAACCGGCGTCCCTCCATCCTTGCCACTCCAACCGGCGTCCCTCCATCCTTGCCACTCCAACCGGCGTCCCTCCATCCTTGCCACTCCAACCGGCGTCCCTCCATCCTTGCCACTCCAACCGGCGTCCCTCCATCTTTGCCACTCCCCCATCCATCCAAGACAACCCACGCTAGTGCGATGGGCTGCAGCGTCCGCACCTGGTGACCTCCTTCCAGCCAGTCAGGGTATTGCTAAACTTCCTCCCTCCCGCTCACTGCCCAACCCCAGGCTACAACGAGCATGGGCAGCTGGGCATTGGCAGGGCGTGCGATGGGCTGCAGAGGCCGCACCTGGTGACCTCCTTCCAGCGCTTCCTGGGCGATGGGGTCCCTCCACTCCTCCCTCACCCCCAAACCTTCTCCGCTCTACACCCCTCTCCCCTCTCTCCCCCCTCTCCCCCCTCTCCCCCCTCCCGTTCTTCCTTCAACCCCACCACACACCCAGGCTACAACGAGCATGGGCAGCTGGGCATCGGCAGGGCGTGTGACAGGCTGCAGAAGCCGCACCTGGTGACCTCCTTCCAGCGCTTTTTGGACGATAAGATGCCTCCACACCTTCTTAACCCCAAAACCTCTTTCCCCCTGCACCCCACCCCTCCCGCTCTCCCCTCTTCCTTCACCGCCCAACCTCACACCCAGGCTACAACGAGCATGGGCAGCTGGGCATTGGCAGGGCGTGCGACGGGCTGCAGAAGCCCCACCTGGTCGCGTCCTTCCAGCGCTTCCTGGATGACCCGCCTCTCACGTGCCCAGACAGTATTCGCATTGTGGCAGTGGCGTGTGGGGGGTTTCACACCGCTGCTGTCGACGCCCGCGGCGAGATGTGAGTAGACAGGCAGAGGCAGAGGCAGAGGCAGAGGCAGAGGCAGAGGCAGAGGCAGAGGCAGAGGCAGAGGCAGAGGCAGAGGCAGAGACCTAAATATCAGAGGCAGAGGCAGAGGCAGACAGGGACGAACGCCTGACCTGCCCCAACGGCATTCATATCGTGGCCGTGGCATGGGCGAACAGAAGAGGGTGGGACATGTGACCAACAGATAGCAACACTGCACGGGTGGGAGCACCTGGGGAGGGGGTTACCGGGGAGGGGGTTACCGGGGCAAATGCGTCACACACTGGAAAGGCATGGGCCAACCCGATTCTGTATCCCCTTCTAACTATGCAAGGGCAGGTACACTTGGGGAGGGGGTTGACTGGGGCAGCTGGGTCGTCCGCAGGAAAGACATGGGACACTCTGATCCCTTATGGTGTTACTTTTGAGTATTTTCAAAAGATTTTTTTAGGCGCTTTTTAGAATTCTCAACAGTAATACCAACATGGGACACTCTGATCCGTTATGGCACGCCCACCATCATACCCCCATTTCCCATGTTTTCCATGCATGGGCAGGTACACGTGGGGAGGGGGGTTGATGGGCCAGCTGGGGCACCGAACGCTGCAGGCACGGGGTGGCACGTGCGAGGTGGTGCCGAGGCGGGTTGTGGCACTTGAAGGAGTTTCAGTAACGCAGGTGGCGTGTGGCCGCACCCACACATGCGCCCTCACCCACAGGTGGGTCTGCTGAGTGCGTATGCATGCACAGCACACCCATGCGCAAACAGGCTCGGGGCGGCACGTTTGAGGTGGTGCCGAGGCGGGTGGTGGTTCTGGAAGGGGTTTCAGTGGCGCAGGTGTCTTGTGGCCGCACCCACACATGCGCCCTCACCCACAGGTGCGTGTGTAACATATCTCAAAGCTCTTACTCAGTGCACCCCACTCCTCTGCAATTTTTGAGGCACCCCAAAGCTCCTCTGCTGCACCATCCTACCCCCGCTCCCACCCCCAACCCCCTTCCCCACTACAGGGGCGCTCTCTACATCTGGGGCGCTGGCAGGGACGGGCAGCTAGGCACAGGCCCCACTTGTGGTTACATGATAGGAAATGCTTTTGGATTCCATCGACTCTCCCTGCTCCCTGCTCCCTTCCCTTCCCTTCCTTCTTTCCAATCTGCCATCCCACCCTCATCCGTCCTCCCAGGGGCGCTCTCTACATCTGGGGAGCTGGCAGGGACGGGCAGTTAGGCACAGGCCCCACCTCCGCCTCCTCCTGCGATGGGATGCTCTTGACTTTTATTTAGTCTCCTAATTTCTTCCTTCTTCTTTCTTCTTCCCGCTCTGTCAATCCCCGCACTCGCAATCCCCACTACAGGGGCGCTCTCGACATCTGGGGGGCTGGCAGGGACGGCCAACTGGGCACAGGCCCTACCTCCGCCTTTACCTAAACCCAGTTCCTCCCGTTCCCGTGCCCTCCCGTCTGTGCACCCCCACCCCCCTTCCCCACTACAGGGGCGCTCTCTACATCTGGGGAGCTGGCAGGGACGGGCAGCTAGGCACAGGCCCCACCTCCGCCTCCTCTGCCCCCACCTCTTCCTCCTCCTCGCTGCCCTCGTCCTCCTCATCCTGCCCCTCCTTCCATCACCTACACACCGGCTTCACCAGCAATACCACAGCCAGCAGCAACAGCAGATTTGGAGGGCCGTTTGGAGGGGGGTTTGGAGCAGGGGCGAGTGGGGGAGGGTGCTCGTCTCTGGATTTTGTGAGAGGGCTGGTGCAGCGACAGCCGCTGCTGCTCATGCCCAAGGGCGTGCGGCTGGTGACGTGTGGGCAGGTGAGAGGGTGGGGCAGGTGAGAGGGTGGGGCAGGTGAGAGGGTGGGGCAGGTGAGAGGGTGGGGCAGGTGAGAGGGTGGGGCAGGTGAGAGGGTGGGGCAGGTGAGAGGGTGGGGCAGGTGAGAGGGTGGGGCAGGTGAGAGGGTGGGGCAGGTGAGAGGGTGGGGCAGGTGAGAGGGTGGGGCAGGTGAGAGGGTGGGGCAGGTGAGAGGGTGGGGCAGGTGAGAGGGTGGGGCAGGTGAGAGGGTGGGGCAGGTGAGAGGGTGGGGCAGGTGAGAGGGTGGGGCAGGTGAGAGGGTGGGGCAGGTGAGAGGGTGGGGCAGGTGAGAGGGTGGGGCAGGTGAGAGGGTGGGGCAGGTGAGAGGGTGGGGCAGGTGAGAGGGTGGGGCAGGTGAGAGGGTGGGGCAGGTGAGAGGGTGGGGCAGGTGAGAGGGTGGGGCAGGTGAGAGGGTGGGGCAGGTGAGAGGGTGGGGCAGGTGAGAGGGTGGGGCAGGTGAGAGGGTGGGGCAGGTGAGAGGGTGGGGCAGGTGAGAGGGTGGGGCAGGTGAGAGGGTGGGGCAGGTGAGAGGGTGGGGCAGGTGAGAGGGTGGGGCAGGTGAGAGGGTGGGGCAGGTGAGAGGGTGGGGCAGGTGAGAGGGTGGGGGCAGGTGAGAGGGTGGGGCAGGTGAGAGGGTGGGGCAGGTGAGAGGGTGGGGCAGGTGAGAGGGTGGGGCAGGTGAGAGGGTGGGGCAGGTGAGAGGGTGGGGCAGGTGAGAGGGTGGGGCAGGTGAGAGGGTGGGGCAGGTGAGAGGGTGGGGCAGGTGAGAGGGTGGGGCAGGACCGTTTGGGTGGGGATTTGGAGCCGGGGCACTAGGGGGGGACGGGTGCTCATCTCTGGATTAAGTGAGAGGGCTGGTGCAGCGACAGCTGCTGCTGCTCATGTCCAAAGTGACTTTAGAGTCGACTCAAAAGACAGCTGCTGCTGCTCATGTCCAAAGTGACTTTAGAGTCGACTCAAAAGACAGCTGCTGCTGCTCATGTCCAAAGTGACTTTAGAGTCGACTCAAAAGACAGCTGCTGCTGCTCATGTCCAAAGTGACTTTTGAGTCGACTCAAAAGACAGCTGCTGCTGCTCATGTCCAAAGTGACTTTTGAGTCGACTCAAAAGACAGCTGCTGCTGCTCATGTCCAAAGTGACTTTTGAGTCGACTCAAAAGACAGCTGCTGCTGCTCATGTCCAAGTGGGTGCGACTTGTTACTTGTGGCAGGTGAGGGAATGTGATGGTTCTTCTGTCTTTACATCCCTCTCTCGCCTGTGCTGCTTCACTCCCTCCCTCTCCCCCGTGCGTGCTGTGATCCCAGGACCACACGCTAGTTGCAATGGCAGACGATCAGATACTAGGGTGGGGCTACAACAGCTGTGGACAAGCAGCAACTGGCAGAGAGTCCTATGCATGGCTGCCCATGCACGTGGACTGGTGTGTGGGTAAGGTACAGGCATTGGCGGCAGGGGGAGGCCATTCCGCTGTGCTCACTGTCGCAGACTCGCTGAAGCTTCTTACTGAGTTCCGATTGGCCCATTCCCTCGACTTCTCTCTTCGCCGCCCGGGGGGATTTTCGGAGTGTGCGAAAAAATTTTACGGGCTGCCCGGGGAGGAAGGCAGTGGAGAGGAGGAGGATGGGGAAGTGATGCTGCGTCGCCAGCTGGCGTTGGCGGAACGAATTGTGGAGGAGTCGCATAGGCTCGGGGCTGACTCACTCGTGCGCTACAGCCTGCAGTTCTGGTGGGTGGTGTTGTGCGCTACAGCCTGGTGGGTGTTTCAGCAGGTATACGGAGGGGTACAGCTTGCTGTTGGGTGAAGTTGGGTTACAGCCCTGTGATTGTAGTGAGGGTGCGAACCTACGTGCATGTGCATGTGTGCTTCAGCTGATGCTATGGGGATTTTGTATGCATCCTTTTATGTGTGTTTTTTTGTTAATGTGGTTCTTTTTTCTTTTATTGATATCCCTGGCAGGCTTAGAGTCACAAGTGACGTCGACCCAGATATGGATGAAAAGGAGCAGCCTGCAGCAAGGGGACGTCGTCAACAATCCATTATGGTGTAATTATTGTGTATATGCATATAGTTCGTATATATTGTAGTCTCACTAGAGTCAGAATTGCTCAAAAACATTATTTAGAACCATAATCCTTGGCAAACTAGCTTCTGTACATTTTCGTTCCTGAATAATCTTGGTTCATGACGATTGTCTACTTAGAACACCTGATTGAACGCACTATGTGTTGAAGATCCGAGACCAACTACAGTGTGTGCATTCTGGCTTGGTTACAGCATCCCTCCAGCCTAGAGATTCTCCTTCCTTCGTTACCTACATACCAGCACCAGTTCTCACGAGCTGCGCGTCGCTGACTGGCTCAAATTCTTCAATTAGCAAAAATAACTTCGAGCGTTTGAATTGTACTCGTTTCATCGTCGTTCAGGTTCCTTGCTTTCAAGTTTTGTGTTTCCTCCTATCCTCGTCCTGAATCTCCTCTCTCGTTTCTTCTCTGACTCCGCCTCCGGGCATGGCGAAAGATGAGGAGAGGGAGGGAAGGACGGCTCGCAGAAGCAAGAGTAGGAGTCGCAGCCGAAGCAGGGACCGAGACCGAGGTAGGGACGGTGACAAGGTGAAGGAAAAAGATCGAGGTCGGGATAAAAAGCGCGACCGCGACAGGGATAAGGCGAGCGACAAGGATAAGGCGAGCGACAAGGATAAGGCGAGCGATAAGGATAAGAAAGGTGACAAGGATAAAGCGGGCGACAAGGTTAAAACGGGCGACAAGGATAAGGCGGGCGACAAGGAACGACGGGATCGTCGCAGCAAGCGGAGTCGCAGTCGGTCTCCAGATCGTAAGCGTCGCAGCCGCAGTCGCTCGCCAGATCGCAAGCGTCGCAGCCGCAGTCGCGACCGGGAGAAGCGACGGAAGAGCAGCAGGAGCAGGAGCAGGAGCAGGAGTGGGGAGCGCGAAAAGGAGAAGAGCCGAGCTGACGAACGTGTTGCTGCCAGGGACGGTAAAGAGGAAGAAATATTAGAATCCAAAGAGTTGGGAAAGGATGTCAAGGAAGATTCGCGGGTGGATGTGAAAGGGAATGCAGCAGCGGAGGAGGGAAAGGTGGCTGGACAAGTTAACGGGGCGAAAGAAAGCGAGAAACAGAACGGCGATTCTGCTGCTGGTGGTGCTTCTGCTCCAAAGAAGCAGGAGGTACGGGGTACAAGCGGAAATATAATTATTTCTTATGCGGAATTTCACTATGTAGTAGCGTTTCTTCCTTACGGACATATTTGCCCGAGTATCTTCGATCTGTTGATCCCGTCCTTCCTCCCTGATCCGTGCTGCAATGCGCCTGTTGTGTTGTGCAGCCCTTGTCGTTGGAGGAGCTGCTGAAGAAACGGAAAGAGGACGCCTTGCAACAGGCCAAGGTATTTCTATGGTTGTAGTAAATGCATGTGTTGCTGCTGAACTATATCGTGGTTGCATCCAATGTCAATCTGATTCATTTCAGTACATCCAATGTCGCTCTGATGCATTTCAGTGCATTCAATGTCAGTCTGATTCATTTCAGTGCATCCAATGCCAGTCTGATGCATTTCAGTGCATCCAATGTCAGTCTGATGCATTTCTGTCCATTCAATGTCAGTCTGATTCATTTCAGTACATCCAATGTCGCTCTGATGCATTTCAGTGCATTCAATGTCAACCTGATGCATTTCAGTACATCCAATGTCATTTTGATGTATTTCAGTGCATTCAATGTCAGTCTGATTCATTTCAGTGCATCCAATATCAGTCTGATGCATTTCAGTGCATCCAATGTCAGTCTGATGCATTTCTGTCCATTCAATGTCAGTCTGATTCATTTCAGTACATCCAATGTAAGTCTGATGCATTTCAGTGCATCCAATGTCAGTCTGATGCATTTCAGTGCATCCAATGTCACTCTGACGCGTTTCAGTGCATCCAATGTCAGTCTGACGCGTTTCAGTGCTTTCAATGTCAGTCTGACGCGTTTCAGTGCATCCAATGTCAGTCTAATGCATTTCAGTACATCCAATGTCACTCTGATGCATTTCAGTGCATCCAATGCCAGTCTGATGCATTTCAGTGCATCCAATGTCACTCTGACGCGTTTCAGTGCATCCAATGTCAGTCTGACGCGTTTCAGTGCTTTCAATGTCAGTCTGACGCGTTTCAGTGCATCCAATGTCAGTCTAATGCATTTCAGTACATCCAATGTCACTCTGATGCATTTCAGTGCATCCAATGCCAGTCTGATGCATTTCAGTGCGTCCAATGTCAGTCTGATGCATTTCAGTTCCTCCAAATTCAGTCTAATTTTGCGTTTCAGTTCAGTGCATCCAATGCCGTTCCGTTTGATATGATTTCGCTCCTCTTTCTTCAACCCCCTCCTTCGCCCTAGCCCCTGTTTTTCCTTCTTTCAGATTTCCCCTTCCTTCCTCCTTTTCCCCCATTGTCTCGCCCCCATTGCTCTCCCTCCCCCCCTCTCCCTCCTCACCCTCCACTTCCATCGGATCTCTGCTGTTCAAGCCTGTGTTTCTCACCAAGGAGCAGCGGCAGGCTCTAGCGCTGCAGAGGCGCAAGGCAGAGGCTACGGCTCAGATGAGAAAGTAGGATGGGTGAAAAGATGGGGGGAGGGGGAGGGGGGAGGGGGGAACGGGGGAAACACTTATTTCGAACATTCTTATATTTTCAGTTGACTGCTGGTCACTGTGGTTTCTTTTGAGGCGGTTCAAAAGACATTCTTGTCAGTTGACTTGCTGGTTATTTTGGTTTCTTGGTCGCTGGTGTCTTTGGCCCGTTCCTCCATCCCGTTCACAGTTGTTTCTTCTTTATTCCTCTCTCCTATCCGCTGCAGAATTGAGAACCAACGGCGGGCGCTCAGAGGACTCCCTCCCCTGCCTGGTAGGCAATTTTGGACTTTTCCTCCCAACAACCAGCATCCTTTTTCTTAAACCGACATTAAGATTAGCCTCGTTTTCTGCTTGCATTTCCTTCCACGTTCATTTCTATGTGCTGTCCTCTTGCCTCCTCTTACTACCTCTGGCGCGGCTGTGCGCGGTTGAGAATGCAACTTTTGACTTCGGAGACACTTCAGGTTGCTTCTTTCCACGTCTGGCGCTAGCTCTGTGAGGTTGGTTGGCTCACAAGTTTTCTCGTTCCCCTTTTTGTCCCGCTGGTATTCCGGCAGATGAGAATGCAGAGGACGGTGCTGCAGAGGGCAAGGATGGGGTGAAGGCTGTGGATGCGACTTTGAGCCGACTCTTAACTTTTCTCGTTCTCCCTTTTTCCTCTTTTGATATTCCGGCAGATGAGAATGCAGAGGACGGTGCTGCAGAGGGCAAGGAGAGGGGAAAGGTCTGTGGATGCGACTTTGAGTCGACTCTTAACTTTTCTCGTTCTCCCTTTTTCCTCTTTTGATATTCCGGCAGATGAGAATGCAGAAGACGGTGCTGCAGAGGGCAAGGATGAGGGGAAGGCTGTGGATGCGGATGGGGAGGAGGGGAAGAGGGATGGGGGACGAGGCAGGGATAGCGACCACGGGGGGGACGAGAAGGAAAGGGATGGAGAACGGGAGAGGGAGAGGGGCAGGGATAGGGACAGGGACAGGGATAGGGACGGAGACAGGGATAGGGATAGGGACAGGGAAAGGGAGAGGGAGAGGGATTGGGATAGGGATCGGGATAGGGATAGGGATAGGGATAGGGATAGGGATAGAGATAGGGATAGGGATAGGGATAGGGACAGGGATAGGGATCGGGATAGGGATAGGGATCGGGATAGGGACCGTGACAGATACCGAGAGAGGGACAGGGATAGAGAAAGGGACAGAGACAGGGACAGGGACAGAGACAGAGAGAGTTACAGGGACAGAGACAGGGACAGGGACAGAGACCGAGACCGAGACAGAGACAGGGACAGGGATAGGGAGAGGGGAAGGGAGCGAGAGTGGGATAGGGACAAGGGGAGGGATGGCGACAAGGGGAAGGAGAAGGGGAAGGGCGAGGAGGGCGGCACTGGGGCTGGAGGAGGAACAGGCACGGACAGGGAGAGAGAGCTTGAGATGATTCGAGAGCAGGTGGGTTGCTTTTTTATATATATAATATGATCATTATTTAATGTTGCCTTTCTTGTTTTTGCTTCACAGACAAGCTGCTTCACTTCCAGTTCCTCTTGTCGCCCCCACCCTTGACCCATCTGTGTCGTTTCTTTTCTCCATTGCAGTTCCTCTCAAGTCTTGGTCCCTGCTTCCCCCCGTCCCTCCCTGTCCGCATCTCTGTCAGCGCGTGCTTCATACCAACGCACCCCTCCTGGCCCAAACTTTCCATCCGTTTCCTCTCCCGCCCATACTCCCTTCTTCCCCCCTTTTCCCCCTTTCCCCTCCCCTTTTTCCCCTTCCTCCCCTTTTTTCCCACCCCCTTTCCCCTTTGCCTTCCTCCATTCCCTCCTGCCGCCTCCACGGGCAGTACCTGGGGCTGCGCAAGCCCAAGAAGCGAGTGATCAAGCCGAGTGAGAAGTTCCGATTCTCCTTCGACTGGGAGAACACAGAGGACACCTCACGCGACCTCAACCCCCTGTGAGTTTTGCCTCCAAGCATTTTTCAGCCCACCACAGTATCAACTCCACTCCCTGTGTGGTTTTTTACCCATCATTATCCTTGACATCGTCTTTTCTCAGCCTACGCTGGGCTGGGCCCCAGCTACAGAAACCCCCACGAGGTGATTCTTTTCGAACTCACATTCAGCCCCATCATCGGCTGTGCTTCCCACAGCATCCTCTGGCCTCTGGCCTACTGTGAGATGATGCATCCTACTAAGCTTTCCCCATCATCTCACCTCTGGCCTGTGCCTCCCTCCAGCTACCAGAACCCCCACGAGGCGCAGTTGCTGTTTGGACGAGGCTTCAGGGCCGGAGTGGACAGGAGGGAGCAGAAGAAGGTGAGATGGAGGAGAGAGAGGGAGGGTGGGGAGGGAATAGGGCATGATGATAGGTGGGTGCAGATGAAACGAAGGAAGAAAAAGAGGGTGGCGTTTGTGGTGGGGAGGGATGGGAGGTGAAGGGGTGAGGGATGAGAGGCTGGATAGAAGGCTTTGATATGGGGTTGGTGCTCTCTTATTTGATCCTACAGTCATCAGAGGTGAGATAAGGGGGTCAATGCTGATCCCCTTTCCTTACGTGGCACTGCCTTATCGTCCTACCAACAGATTCTGTTTGTTTCATTAACACTTGCTTCCTTGTGCTTGTTTCTCTCCTCATCGTTGCCCCGCTCTGCTGTGTGGTATGGTCTATAATGCGGCATCGCATGGCATGTTGCTGTATGGTTGCTTGGTGTGACATGGCCTGGCATGGCATGTTGCACTATGGTGGTGTGGGATGACATGGCCTGGCATGGCATGCTCAAATCATCTGACACATATTCCTGCGATTCTGTGCTGATTGCATGCTGACTCTATCCTGGCCTTGTCTCGCATCAGCTTGCAGCAAAGAATGAAGCAGACATGCGGGCAGCCATTCGGGTAAGAGCATGCACTTTTTTGCTCATTCCTTCCCTTTCAGGGTATTCTCCTTCCCTTTCCCCTTGTCCCCCCTTTTTTCTCCCTCCCTTCAAGTCCCTGTCGTATCGTTGCTCCTCGTTGCTCTTCCCACTCCATATCCATCGGTATGTGTGTGTGCATGTGCAATTGCGTCCATCCTCTTCTCTTCTATCGTCATAACTGGTGGAGCAGGAGAAGGAGGGTGTGGAGGAGAGGCCAGAGGATGCGGAGGCGCAGCAGAAGAGGGAGGAGGCTGCGAACGCATATGACACCTTTGACATGCGCGTTGACCGGCACTGGTCCGAGAAGAAGGTGAGAAGGGATGGGCAGTAATCAGGCTGGAAAATGAGAAAGGGTGTGTTTAAACCATCGAGGAAGAGGGAGGAGGCAGCCAACGTGTATCACACGTTTGACATGTGTGTTGACCAGCACTGGTCCGAGAAGAAGGTGAGAGTGGATGGGCACGATTCGGCGGCATACGCCGTGCTTCTCACCCTCCTCTGTGGATCAAATCAATGCCGTGCTGCGTTATGCAGTCTCTCCACTTCAAGCCCCTTCCTCTTACCTTTCCCCTTTCCCTTTGCCCGTGTCTGCTTTCCTCTGTCCGCTCATCTCTGTCCTTGTATGCTGCCGCATACGTTAAGGGAGATCACGGATCGTGACTGGCACGTTTTCACAAGCTGTGGACAGCCTTACTTACGGTCAAATGTCTAACCATATCCATTTTCTCAAATTTCGTTCTCTCCCTCTATCCTCTCCCTCGTCCACCCTCACATCAGCTGAACGAGATGACAGAGCGTGACTGGCGCATTTTCCGGGAGGATTTCAACATTGCGTACAAGGTAGGCACCGCGGCTATACATATAAGCTTGTGATGTAGTCAAGATTTTTTACTTGACTCGAAAATCGTCTTATCTCACACACACGGGTTTCTACATCGTGTACAATACAAGGTAGGCACCGCGGCTATACATATGTGTGTTGTAGTCAGGGTTTTTTTCTGGACGCGAAAGTTGTCTTTATCACACACATGCAGATTTCAACATTCCGTACAAGGTACCGTGACTGTACGTGTAAGCTCATGTTCTAGTAACGATTGCCAATGTTTTCACTTCACAGGGCTCCAAGGTGCAGCTCCCCATGCGCAACTGGGAGGAGAGTGGGCTGTCAGCAGAGCTGCTGCGGACATGATAGCACGTGCTGACGTGCTGTCTATTCTTGCCCCACTGTCCTTCTCTCTTCCCTACCAGGGCTCCAAGGTGCCTCGTCCCATGCGCAACTGGGAGGAGAGCGGGCTGTCAGCAGAGCTGCTACGTGCCGTGAAGGAGATCGGCTACACGAAGCCGTCGCCCATCCAGATGGCTGCCATGCCCATCGGATTGCAGCAGAGGGATGTTATCGGCATTGCTGAGACTGGTAAGCGATGCACACATGGAGACGCCCACACCTACCCAAGGGTCACACCCACCAAGCCATGTAGGAGCTAATGAGGGCCGTGAAGGAGATTGGCTACACGAAGCTGTCGCCATGCCCATCGGGTTGCCACGTGAAAACAGGAGTGTTTTGAGACGTCTCAAAACACTCCTGTTTTCACGTGGCTGCTGAGGGCCGTGAAGGAGATTGGCTACATGAAGCCGTCGCCATGCCCATCGGGTTGCAGCAGAGGGATGTCATTGGCATTGCTGAGACTGGTGAGGGATGCATTGGCATTCCTGGCACTAGCATGCATGCAGGCACGGATACATTCACAACCACACCCGCTCCCACCAAGCCATCGCCCATTCAGATGGCTGCCATGCCCATCGGGCTGCAGCAGAGGGATGTCATTGGGATTGCCGAGACTGGTAAGGATTTCACAAGGAATGGGTCAGTGTACCGCTCACTTTCCCCCGCACTATTCCTGGATACACACGCACACCAAGCCATCGCCCATCCAGTTGGCTGCCATGCCCATCTGCAGCAGCGCGGCGTGATTGGCGTCGCCGAGACGGGTGAGGAAGAATGAAGGATGGGTCAGATGTTATGTTATGTATGCGTGTACCGCGCGGCGCACTCAATCTCATGCTGGTATTGCCGCTCGCGAGACACACACACGTCAAGCCGCCGCGTCGCCTATCCACATGGTCGCCTTGCCCATAGGGTTGCGGAAGAGAGGCGCCGTTGCGTTGCCGATGCTCCATCCGTCCATCCATCCATCCATCCAATGTGGCTCGGTCATGTGAGAAAAGCTACTCCTGCTTTGTGCTGCTCTTGCGAATGTACACCCCGAAGCTGCCGTGCCGCCCATGACAGCACCCAAGCTGCCGTGCCGCCCATGACAGCCCCCAAGCTGCCGTGCAGCCCAGCCCATGACAGAGCCCTTCGTGCTGCCCTTATCCTCCACACTGCAACGGGCTTACCCACCCATCAACCCTTCCACTCTCTCTCCCCCCACGTATTCCCTGCATTCCCAACCCACACAGGTTCCGGAAAGACATGCGCCTTCATGCTGCCCATGCTGACGTACATCTCCACCAAGCTGCCGCCCATGACCGAGGCCAACGAGGCTGAGGGGCCTTTTTGAGGCGCCTCAAAAAGAGGCCAACGAGGCTGAGGGGCCTTTTTGAGGCGCCTCAAAAAGAGGCCAACGAGGCTGAGGGGCCTTTTTGAGGCGCCTCAAAAAGAGGCCAACGAGGCTGAGGGGCCTTTTTGAGGCGCCTCAAAAAGAGGCCAACGAGGCTGAGGGGCCTTTTTGAGGCGCCTCAAAAAGAGGCCAACGAGGCTGAGGGGCCTTTTTGAGGCGCCTCAAAAAGAGGCCAACGAGGCTGAGGGGCCTTTTTGAGGCGCCTCAAAAAGAGGCCAACGAGGCTGAGGGGCCTATTTGAGGCGCCTCAAAAAGAGGCCAACGAGGCTGAGGGGCCTTTTTGAGGCGCCTCAAAAAGAGGCCAACGAGGCTGAGGGGCCTTTTTGAGGCGCCTCAAAAAGAGGCCAACGAGGCTGAGGGGCCTTTTTGAGGCGCCTCAAAAAGAGGCCAACGAGGCTGAGGGGCCTTTTTGAGGCGCCTCAAAAAGAGGCCAACGAGGCTGAGGGGCCTATTTGAGGCGCCTCAAAAAGAGGCCAACGAGGCTGAGGGAGCCTTCCCATCCCACCACATGCACCCTGCCTGCCTGCCTGCCTGCCTGCCTGCCTGCCTGCCTCCCCAGCCCACCGAGGCTCTGAAACTTCATACGAATCGCTTCCCCACCCATCCAGGTTCCGGCAAGACGTGTGCCTTCGTGCTGCCCATGCTGACGTACATCTCCAAGCTGCCGCCCATGACCGAGGCCAACGAGGCTGAGGGGCCGTACGCGGTAGTCATGGCGCCCACCAGAGAGCTGGCACAGCAGATCGAGGAGGAAACAGTCAAGTTCGCGCAGTTCATGGTGAGATAGGCGTCTCATGCGTCTCATTGTCCTGTGTCCCTGGATTCAGAGCTATCATCAAGGCCGAAGGGCCGTACGCTGTGGTCATGGTGCCCACCAGGGAGCTGGCACAGCAGATTGAGGAGGAGACCGTTAAGTTCGCCCAATTCATGGTGAGCTAGACGTTTGGGGCGTCTCGTTGTGCCACTGATAAGGTGATAGCAAGCAACGATTTTGAGGGGCCCTACGCTGCGCTGTGGTCGTGGCGCCCATCAGGGAGTTGGCAGGCGCAGAGAGGAGATTGTGAAATTCGCCCAGTTCATTGTGAGGAGTATTGGTTGTATTGTTCCCGCCCCATGGCACCTCTGACGTGATAGCTTTGTGCTGTCGTCATGGCTCCCAGGTGACTTTTGAGTCGACTCAAAGGTCACCTCGTTCATGGTGAGGAGTATTGGTTGGATTGTTCCCATCCCACCCTATGGCACCTCTGACGTGACAGCCCTGTGCTGTGCTGTCGTCATGGCTCCCACTAGAGAGCTGGCGCAGCAGCAGACCGAAGAGGAGACGGTCAAGTTTGCTCAGTTTTCCCTTTCTTTTCTTTTCCTCCCCTCTCCGCTTCCTTCCCTCCTTGTCTGCTGCAGAATCTCCGGGTGGTGTCGATCGTGGGAGGGCAGTCCATCGAGGAGCAAGGCTTCAAGCTGAGACAGGTGAGCGGCTTCAAGATAAGGGTCAACAACGCACCTTCTCCTTATCCTCCCTCCACTTGCTGTCACCTCTAAAACAAGGCTGCTGGTTTCCGTTGTTTCTCGGTCCGCCCTAGTGCTACCCCTATAATCTGCCAGAAATGTGAAATTGTGCTCACGGCTCACCTTTTTTTGTCAAAGAAATAGATCCTTTTTCTGCCTGGGAGGTCATGCTGCTCACACAGGTGCCTGGGAGGTCATGCTCACACAGGTGCCTGGGAGGTCATGCTGCTCACACAGGTGCCTGGGAGGTCATGCTGCTCACACAGGTGCCTGGGAGGTCATGCTGCTCACACAGGTGCCTGGGAGGTCATGCTCACACAGGTGCCTGGGAGGTCATGCTCACACAGGTGCTGCTCTTCATCCGTTTTCCTCGCTTCCCCCTCCTCCCTCATCCCTTTCCCCCCCCTGTCTGTCAGAGCTGTGAGATTGTGATCGCCACATCGGGGCGGCTGTTAGACTGCTTGGAGCGGCGCTATGCTGTGCTGAACCAGTGCAACACTCACACAGCCGCTGTTTGTTTTCTTCCCCCCCTTTCCTTCTCCCCGTCACTGCCCCTGTACTTCAGGGCTGTAAGATCGTGATTGCCACGCCAGGGTGGCTGCTGGACTGCTTGGAGCGGCGGTAAGCCGTTCTGAACCAGTGCAACACTCACACAGCCGCTGTTTGTTTTCTTCCCCCCCTTTTCTCTCCCCCGTCACTGCCCCTGTACTTCAGGGCTGTGAGATCGTGATTGCCACACTGGGAAGGCTGCTGGACTGCTTGGAAAGGCGCTATGCCGTGCTGAACCAGTGCAACACGCACACAGGGCCTGCCTTGCCTTCTCCTCCTTCCCTATCCCCCTTGAACCCCCCTACTCTCTGTGCCTTTCTCAGGGCTGTGAGATTGTGATTGCCACGCCAGGGCGGCTGCTGGACTGCTTGGAGCGGCGCTATGCCGTGCTGAACCAGTGCAACTACGTGGTGCTGGATGAGGCTGACCGCATGATTGACATGGGCTTCGAACCGCAGGTGTGCATGCCGGGTTACCTCATGTGCCTACCGTATCCCTCACATGGGAACCAGTGCAAGCAACTACGTGGTGCTGGATGAGGCTGACCACATGATTGATATGGGCTTCGAGCCGCAGGTATGTAAGGGGTTACCCCTTTGTATGAGCCTAGTGATGCACGCCTATTCCTCAGCTATACATTGGGCCTGGAGGGTGCTGAACCAGTGCAACTATGTGGTGCTGGACGAGGCTGATCACATGATCGACATGGGCTTTGAACCGCAGGTGTGATGCCCTGTACATGGGCATTGAGGGAGGGAGGGTGCTGACTCAGAGCATGCAACTACTTGGCCCCGGATGAGGCCGACTGCATGAGTGACATGGTCTTGGAACGTTAGATGTGATGCATCATGCATGAACCTCAGCGTACCCATCACATCACATCACATCACTTCACATCACATCACATCGCATCACATCACATCGCATCGCATCGCATCGCATCACGTTTGCCCCACATGGGCCTTGAGGGTGCTGAGCAGTTGCAATGCGTGTTTCTTTCTCTTTTGAAATATTTTGAGAGTGACAAAGCTTTGACCTATGCTTCGCGCATCTACCACGTGACCTACATGTTCATTCCCTCTTCCTCCGCCACCCCTCTTGCACGTTCCGAAGCAGGTGACAGGAGTGCTAGAGGCCATGAACACAGCGTTCCTCAAGCCGGAGAGCGAGGACGCAGAGCTGGACGCTTCCCGTCTGATCACTCTCTCCCGTTTCCTCCCCCCTTCCACCCCCCTCCGTGTGCACATTCTGAGCAGGTGACAGGAGTGCTAGAGGCCATGAACACAACGTTCCTCAAGCCGGAGAGCGAGGACGCAGAGCTGGACGCTTCCCGTCTGATCACTCTCTCCCGTTTCCTCCCCCCTTCCACCCCCCTCCGTGTGCACATTCTGAGCAGGTGACAGGAGTGCTAGAGGCCATGAACACAACGTTCCTCAAGCCGGAGAGCGAGGACGCAGAGCTGGACGCTTCCCGTCTGATCACTCTCTCCCGTTTCCTCCCCCCTTCCACCCCCCTCCGTGTGCACATTCTGAGCAGGTGACAGGAGTGCTAGAGGCCATGAACACAACGTTCCTCAAGCCGGAGAGCGAGGACGCAGAGCTGGACGCTTCCCGTCTGATCACTCTCTCCCGTTTCCTCCCCCCTTCCACCCCCCTCCGTGTGCACATTCTGAGCAGGTGACAGGAGTGCTAGAGGCCATGAACACAACGTTCCTCAAGCCGGAGAGCGAGGACGCAGAGCTGGACGCTTCCCGTCTGATCACTCTCTCCCGTTTCCTCCCCCCTTCCACCCCCCTCCGTGTGCACATTCTGAGCAGGTGACAGGAGTGCTAGAGGCCATGAACACAACGTTCCTCAAGCCGGAGAGCGAGGACGCAGAGCTGGACGCTTCCCGTCTGATCACTCTCTCCCGTTTCCTCCCCCCTTCCACCCCCCTCCGTGTGCACATTCTGAGCAGGTGACAGGAGTGCTAGAGGCCATGAACACAACGTTCCTCAAGCCGGAGAGCGAGGACGCAGAGCTGGACGCTTCCCGTCTGATCACTCTCTCCCGTTTCCTCCCCCCTTCCACCCCCCTCCGTGTGCACATTCTGAGCAGGTGACAGGAGTGCTAGAGGCCATGAACACAACGTTCCTCAAGCCGGAGAGCGAGGACGCAGAGCTGGACGCTTCCCGTCTGATCACTCTCTCCCGTTTCCTCCCCCCTTCCACCCCCCTCCGTGTGCACATTCTGAGCAGGTGACAGGAGTGCTAGAGGCCATGAACACAACGTTCCTCAAGCCGGAGAGCGAGGACGCAGAGCTGGACGCTTCCCGTCTGATCACTCTCTCCCGTTTCCTCCCCCCTTCCACCCCCCTCCGTGTGCACATTCTGAGCAGGTGACAGGAGTGCTAGAGGCCATGAACACAACGTTCCTCAAGCCGGAGAGCGAGGACGCAGAGCTGGACGCCTCCCGCATCTACCGCGTGACCTACATGTTCTCCGCCACCATGCCTCCCAGCGTTGAACGCCTGGCCCGCAAGTACCTCCGCAACCCCGTTGTGGTATGTGCCTCTCTGTCCCCTCTTTTCCCTCTGCTCCCACTGCTCCCACTGCTCCTGTGGTACGTGCAACTATCTGCTCCCCCCCCTGCTCCCCTGCTTGCTGCTGTGCCCATTGTGTTCCCTGCTTGGTACCCTCTCGCCTCTCCTCTCCTCCTGCATGCCCCCTGCTGCGTTCTCACTATGCTTCCCGCATCTACCGTGTGACGCAGCAGGGAGGTTCCCCTCCTTCAAGCCTGCATTCTGCTCGTCTCCTTGTTTATTTACGCACAGGTGACCATCGGTACAGCAGGCAAGGCAACGGATCTGATCACACAGAACGCGTTCATGGTGAAGGACTCGGAGAAGATCTCCCTCTTGCAAGGTCCCATGCCTCTGTGTCTCTTCCTCTTTCCGTCTCCCTCGTATTCCTGTACAGGTTACTATTGGCACGGCAGGCAAGGCAACGGATCTGATCACACAGAACGTGTTCATGGTGAAGGACTCGGAGAAGATCTCCCGCCTGCAGCGCCTTTTGGAAGGGATTGGGGAGGACCGCACGGCCATTGTGTTTGTCAACACCAAGAAGACGGCCGATGGTGTTGCCAAACAGGTGGGGTGCGGTTGGGCAGGTTTTGGGGGTTGAGGAGGTGGGGTGCGGTTGGGCGGGTTTTGGGGGTTGAGGAGGTGGGGGAGGGGGGGAGATTAGGATTGGGGATTGGGGAGGTCCGCACGGCCATTGTGTTTGTCAATACCAAGAAGATGGCCGATGGTGTTGCCAAGCAGGTGAAAGGGTTATGCGGTGCGGTTGGGCTGGTGGGTGGTTGAGGGTGGTTAGGGGAAGGGTGTGTACTCAATGTTGGGAAGGACCGGAAGCGTGCTTATCTATGTGTGTGCTTGCTTGCTCCCTTGCTTGATCTTGTTCCATCCCTGCAGATCGACAGGATGGGGTTCAATGTGATCACGCTGCACGGAGGCAAGACACAGGAGCAGCGAGAGGTCAGCTTGGAGGACTGAGGCTGGCCCAAAAGGGTCGGATCTTGCCAACAAAAGTCCTTATCAGTGTGTGTTCTCCCTTGCTTCACCTCCATGCCCACACCTGCAGATCGACAGGATGGGGTTCAATGTGACCACGCTGCATGGAGGCAAGACACAGGAGCAGCGAGAGGGAGGTCAGCCTTGAGAGCCTCGGCTAATCTCAAGTGTGTGTGCTCGCTCCCTTGCATGCTCTGGATTCCCACACCTGCAGATCGACAGGATGGGGTTCAACATGACGACCCTGCATGGAGGCAAGACACAGGAGCAGCGGGAAGTCAGCCTGGAGGGCTTTGACTTATCCCAACTGTGTGTGCTTGCTCCCTTGCTATGGCCATGCCTGGTTGCTCTGCATTCCCATGCGTGCAGATCGACAGGATGGGGTTCAATGTGACGACGCTGCATGGAGGCAAGACGCAGGAGCAGCGGGAGGTCAGCCTGGAGGGCTTCAGAACGAAGAAGTTCAACGTGCTGGTGGCCACGGATGTGGCCGGCCGTGGTATTGACATCCCGGTGAGCATCAGCTGTGGTTGCCAGGCGAGCAGATTTAATAAGTCAGCTTGGAGGGCTTTCAAACGAAGAAGTTTAATGTGCTGGTGGCAACAGACGTGACGGGGCGTGGTATCGACATCCCGGTGAGCATCAGATGGGATTGCCTCAAAACAAAACAGATGATGAGAGTACCAGCACCAATCGGTCAGCCTGCAGGGATTTCGATCCAAGTGAGCAGGTACTGATATGTCAGCGTGAAAGGCTTTCGATCAGAACGAAGAAGTTCAACGTGCTGGTGGCCGCAGACGTGGCTGGGCGTGGTATCGACATCCCGGTGAGCATCTATCTATCAGAGTGTGTCTTCGAAGCTGTTATGGTGTTGTGGTGTTGTATTGTTGTGATGTTGTGGTGTTGTGGGGGGGGGGGGCGATAGATGTTCAATGTGCTGGTGGGTACAGACGTGGCGGGGTGTGGTATTGACATCCCGGTGAGCACTGACTGTAATCAGTATCAAAACACGCTGGCGCTGGTGGAAGGGAGATAGCCACGTGATAAAAGATTTGTTTTGAGACGTCTCAAAACATCCCGGTGAGCACTGACTGTAATCAGTATCAAAACACGCTGGCGCTGGTGGAAGGAAGAAGCAATTGTGTCGATGTCTGGGCGATCGTTTGCTGGAAGGGATTCTTGTTGGGAGGAAAATCCAGAATTTTACTGCTCTTCGCATGATTGAGTGAGTGAGCAAGTGAGTGAATGACTGACCAGTGAGAGGGTGTGAGTGCAGGAGCCTTCATGCTAATTCATCAACCCTTCATCCACACGTCTCCCTTCCATCCAATCAGGACGTGGCACATGTCATCAACTTCGACATGCCAGGCAACATTGAGATGTACACTCACCGCATTGGTACGCTCCTCTTTTCTCCTCCATCACATCTTTCGTCACACATCACTCGCCCCTCTCATTTTGTTTGACTCACTGAAACACCCTCTCCTTTCCACTAACCGTTCCCTCCCCCCTCTCTTTCCCCACCCCACCCCACCCCACCCCACCCTATCCCCCTATACGACTCCGTTTCTCTTTGACCTGCTGGGCACTGCAGGGCGAACGGGGCGTGCAGGCAAGACAGGCGTGGCCACCACCTTCCTCACGCTGCACGACTCGGAGCTCTTCTACGACCTCAAGCAGGTGTGCTGTTCACCCCTGAGACGACCAGACGACTCAAAGGTGACTCTAGAACTGTCTCAAAAGACAGGCGCGGCGACCACATTATCACCTTCTCCACGCTGCATGACTCGGAGCTCTTATACGACCTCAAGCAGGTGTGCTTTGCCCTCGTTAGCGGGCGATGACTGTCTGAGCCAACTCAAACATGACTGTTGAGTTGAGTCAACACAAATGACAGGCGTGGCATCCACCTTTCTCACGCTGCACGACTCGGAGCTCGTCTACGACCTCAAGCAGGTGTGCTCCTCGCCCTTGAGTCAACTCAGAGGTGTGATGTGTGAGTTGTCTCAAGCATCCACCTTTTTCACGCTGCATGACTCCGAGCTCTTATACAATCTCAAGCAGGTCTGCTCCCCACTACCCCCGCTCCCCCCTCTCCCCTCACCCCGCCCCCCCTTCTCCCGGCTCCCCTCTCTCCCCTCTCTCCCCTCTCTCCCTGCTCCCCGCTCCCCGGTCCCCGCTCCACTGCCCGCACCCTCCTCTTCCCGCTGCTCTCTCTCCCCGCTCCCCCCCCTCCTTCTCACGCTGCATGAATCGGACCTCAAGCAGCTCCGCTTCCTCTTTACTGCTCCTCTTTTCCCTCCCGCTCCTCCCCTCCTCTCTTTCAGTCTTCTACGGTCTCAATCAGACCTCTTCCCCCTTTTTCCATGCTCCGCTTTTCTCTCCCTTCCTCCCTCCTCTTCTCTTGTGCACTTTTTTTCGACCTCAAACATGCCTCCTCTCCTTTCCAATCCTCCCCCCCCCCCCCCCCCCCCCCCCCCCCTCCCTCCCCCTCCCCTACCCCCTTGTCCCTTCTCCTCCAATCACAGATGCTTACTCAGAGTGGTTGTGCCGTACCTCCCGAACTCGCCCGGCACGAAGCTGCCAAATTCAAACCAGGTACGGCTCGACCTTCGCCTTTTCAGTGAGCTTTTACTTTGTAGCTACTTATGAATCGTTGGTTCAATTTTTTTCACAATATTTCAATCGCTTATCATTTTGAACGCGTTTCATTCACTCCAATGTGGTGCACTTTTTGCTTCGTGCAGGTTCCATTCCGGACAGGCCCCGTCGTAGCGAGCAGCTTTTCACACATTGATGAAGTCTTCATTCCAGGCATTTTTAAATGGTTGGTGTTTCACATTTGGATTAGTTATACCAACATGCCTAGTACCGATGACTAACTACTTTCTCACATTAAGTCTCACAGTCTAGCACCAACTGAAACAGAGCAAGTGCATTAATGGTACTGCGTATGTTACAAACGTAAATGCGGAAGCCCTTCTTTCTGGAAGGAACTGCGGCTGACTCGTTCGTTCCTCGCCTTTCTTTCTGCAGGCCAGCGCGCCTCGTAATGACTTTTCCTCATCTTTCGTGACTCCTGCCCGATTTCGAATTTGACTACAGTGCCGCCTTGCTAAGCAGAGTTCTTGGAAATAAAGCACACGAAGAATTTGACTACAGTACTGCCTTGCTAAGCAATAAGTTGTCTTCAACTGACCTGAAGAGTTACAACTGTACCAAGAAAGTGACCCTTGCCAAGTATTACCGTGTCCTCGTCATCTTTATTCTCGCACACATCATCTTCACGACTGTTTCAAATCGCTTGGGATTGACTCATCTCACCGACCTTCTCAAACAAGCCATCACGATTCTCACCTCACCGCGTCTTCTCGAAAGCACAACGCGCTGGGTAATGAGTGCGGTAATGTATTCTTTCATAACGGTACCTCTCGTTACGGGGGACTTCGTTCACCTAACTGACTGTGAGTAGGAATGACGGAACCCTAATTCACATGATTGACTCATTTTGACGTTCCCATGTTGCGTGTTCTTTCTTAGCTCTGGTCTACGCGTCTTTGTCAACTAAACTCGCCTCGTCGCACTTTCGGTTTCGTATGCATCTATAATAGTGCCGTCTTTACATGTTTATACTTGCCTCACGACCCTAATGCTAGAGGGTCTTCAGTTCTTTAGTGGCATTCTCGAGCATCAGCTTTTGAAAGAAGGGCCTATCTTAAGTGTGTCGCAATAAGCGTCGCCGCTTGCTGAGACGGGTTACGCAGTTACCACTTCCGTTTCTTCGTTTTCTTCGTCCAACGGCATGGACATCGCGAGTGTGAGACATTGACATCCTCGACCCTTCGCAGGTACTTACCTAAAAGAAACGAACAATGAAATATGATAACGAAGAACATGAGTAAGAAAAGAAAAAGAATAAGACAAAAAAAAAATCTTGCTTTCTCGTCTTTCCGTGTTTCGATGGCCCTCCCTCTTCGTTGTACAAACATCCTACAGTTTTTACTGTCACGCTGGGCTGTCCTAACCAGGTGCGTGGCTGTAAAACGAGTGTTAACTGTACTGGGGGCTTTACTCTAGCCACGCTTCTGGCTGCGAAACGAAGTGTTTCTGTATTGCGAGGTAGACCTGACGATATTTCTGGCTCTGTATAACGGATGGTTACTGTACTAGGCGGTCGGCTTAGCGAGACGTCTAGCTGCATTGCAATCTCGAGTCCTATCCTGTTGTCGCATGGTCCAGTCCTGCTGTCGCACGGCCGACTTCTGTTGTTGCACGGTAATGCTGCTGTCGCACGGTAATGCTGCTGTCGCACGGTAATGCTGCCGTCGCACGGTAATGCCGCCGTTGCATCAGACTGGGACACGCGAATACCCACCCAACTACATTGCGGTCGCCTCCGCACCTCAAGTCCCTTTGATGCCCCCATTCTCCTCCAAACCCCAATACCGACGCGCTCCGCGTAGCTCATTCGCCTTGGTTCTCTGCACGGGGAGGTCTCGCTTTGGTTGTCTCCCATCAATTGCCTCGTGTCCCTTGTCCTTTATGATACACACCAATTTGCGTGTGCCCCTGCATTCCCGCCCCTCCCTGGTTCCCCCCTCAATCTCCCGCCCTTCCATCCCCCTTTCCTCCTTTACTCCTCATGTCATCTCTCTGCCTCCCTTCCTCCCTCCCCTTGTTCCCCTCCTCCCAATCTCTCCTTTCGTTCTTTCTCCATTCCTTCTCTTCTGCCGTCCTGTCCCACGCTTCTCCTTTACTCCTCTCACCTCACCTCATCCTCTTTCCTCCTTACCTTCTTTCCTCTCCTCCCCTTTTCTCCCTCTTCACCTCTCCTTCGCTTCTCTCCGTCCTCGCATCCTCTCTCCCTCCTCCTCTCCCCTCCTCCCATCCATCCCTTCATTCCCTCTCCCCTCCTCTAGTCTTCCCTCATTCCTTCCTCCCCCTCCCTCCATAATCTCCCGCCCGTCCTCTACCGTCTCCCATTTGCTTCCCTTCTTCCCTCCTCTCACCTCCTCCCGTCCTCTACCATCTCCTCTCCACTCTTTTCGTCCACTCCCCTCGTTTCCTCATCTTCTCTGCTTCCTTCATCTCCCCTCTTCTCTCCTCTCCCCATCCACTCCTCTCCTTCCCATCCCTCATTTCCCTTCCCCCTCAACCCACCCCCCCTCCCCCCCCTTCCTGCTACCGGTATTGGACCTCACAGAATTTTCAACCCTTTTGTCTCTCGCCTCTATCTGCTTTTTCTTTCCACTTTACCTCGCTGCACTCCTCTCCTGACCTCTTCTGTTTTTGTGGAAAAATTCCTCCTGGCTCTTGCTACTCCTTCCATTTCGCCTCCGCTTGTTTTCCCACTGCCCATTTCCTCACTGCCCGTTTCCCCACTGCCTGTCCCCCTCCCTCTGGTTCTAATCTCTTCCCTTTGTCTCCCTACTCCTGTTTCTCTCCTACCTCCCGCTATTTGCCATTCTCCTCTTCTCTGAACCCCATCATGGCCCATCCCTTTACAGATGGCCTCCTATACCAACGACCAACTACTGCTAACGAGCTCCTCTTTCCTCTAGACCACACTCAACCACCTATCACCGCAGCACCGCCTCATCGAACCTTTTCATCGGAACCATCTTCCCAGCGTGCCTGTTGAGAACTCCCAGTGAACCGTTTCAACTTGATTAACCATCTGAGCACCAGCACCCTGCACCAGCGACTCCCACCCACCCCGTTCTCCCCCTCCTCTCCCTCGCCTTACCACCACCTTGGCCATGGGCTGTGCGATCAGCATCTCAGCAGACGAAAAAAAAGGCAAGGATGCCAAAAGTGGCGACGCTCCAGCTGCTCCTGCAAAGCCAGCTGTCACCTTCACCCCCATTGATCGCTCCATGCCTCCCATCGTATCTGGTGAGGTGCTCTCGATGCCCCAGACCAGAAAACCCATGGAGTCGATATATGAGCCCAAGGAGGGGTAAGTAAAAACACCCTCCGTGTGTGTGTGCCAGTGTGTGGGAGTGGAAGTTGGCGAGCGGAACAGAGGTGTATGTATGTGGGTCCATGGCTTGTTTGGGTTACTGGGTGGAATTTGGTGGTGTAATGTTATACCAGCAAGTACAATAGTGGTCTAGAATTCGCCTGTCCTGCTTTCACTGTTGACAGGATGCGGTTTTGAAGCTTGAGATAGATACAGTAGTTGACATACCCAGGAGCTTGTGTTGCTCCATCCATGGATGTTTGGATTACGCTAGATTTGAGGTGTAGTTATTACTTGTAGTCAGGCCTGAAATTGTTTTGCTGTTTGGTATTACAATTTATGTAGCCCAGTCGTGAGAAAAAATACCACTGTAGTACCGTAAGTTCCGAGCAGAAACAGTAGTGGGGGATAAACTTTGGAACTCAGGCATTCCCGAAAGTCAGGAATCTGCTAGAAAGGCATAGTGCCGGCGTAGCGGAAACGTGTTTGTAGAAAAGAACAAGATAGAAATCTTGCATTGATCATTGAAAAGTAGAATGATGTGATGACACAATTATAACTTAATGATAACTCAATGATGTGACACAGCAGGGAATAGGTATGGTATGCATCCAGCTACCCCTCTAGAATGACCCATTCACACCAATAATTGTACCCTCTACCCTCCAAAAATGCTGGGCTCCAATAATTGTGGCCCCTACAATAATTGTCACAATTATTGTAGGACCTAGAAGCTTATCAAGAGGACTACACTAAAACCAAACAGCACACTGGTATACAGTATTCGTTATACTGTACTCGGATTTCCAACAGAATCTACCCCACGCCTGCTTAGCAGCACATGCTTGTACATGTTTAGGACGCGTCAGCTGCCTCGATCGATCCTGCGCAGGATCGATTTTTGATTCGGTTCAAAAAGTTTTCAAGCAAATTTAAATGCAACACGCGGGATTTTAGTGCGGTGGACGATCGATCTTCCTCGATTTTGCATGATCGATCGAGGGAGGTGACGCGTCCTTAGCAAGCACAGCCTGCTTTACCAGCTTCATGAGCATATCGGCCTCCTTAGCCACTGACTCACTCTCACCATACCTCCTCTTCACTACCGGTATCTCCTTCACTCTAGTTCTCTGTAAATCCAATCTAGTTACGTTGGATGCAATTAGCTTGGTGAGAACTGGATGTCGATACATTTTGAACAAAATAATACATGAGATGAGATACAAAGACACAACTGTGTGGCCATAAACGCCTAGGCATTCCTGAGAATAAGGTATCTGCCCCACGCCTGCTTAGCAGCACGTGCTTCCTCATGCTTGGCAAGCACAACCGGCCTGAGCAGCTTCACAAGCCTATCAGCCTCCTTAGCTGCTGACTCACTCTCACCATACCTCTCCTCTAACTCTCCCACACTAGCTTTCAACCCTGCAACTTTCCTTGCGAGCCTTTCCCTCTCCACAATCGCACCTTGCAGCCCTTGCCTTCTTTCCAAAACCAACGCCTCAGCTCGTTGCACCTTCTGGCTCATTGCTCCTGCCACTCTCTCTGCCTGAGCCTTCACCAGTTCTGCCTCCTCTCGATGCAGCCTTGCTCCCAAGGTCCGTGTTCCTGCCGACTCAACAGTCATGGCTCGGCG